GTTTCTTTTCAGTGGACTATTGATCTTATGTTAGTATAGAAACTACACAGAGTTCCAATACAAAAACAGGCTTATGGCTTTCATATTGGTAATTCGGTCTAATGAACTCTAAATATGAGACTTAATCTAGAAAAAGAAGAAGAGCACTACGTAGTTTAGTTCTTCTTCTTCTTCTTCAACCGTCTTCGATCCGAAGATTGGTCGCATTGTGAACGATCCTCCTCCATTGTTTCCTGTTCTCTACCGACCTTAACGTTTCTGCCACAGATAGTCCTGTCCATGCTTTGATGTTGTCCATCCATGCCATTCTTGGTCTACCACGTGCTCGCCTTCCGGGCACTGTGCCTTGTATTATGTCTTTTTCAAGAGTGTTTTCTTTGTTTCTCATCACGTGTCCGTAGTATTTAAGTTTCCTTGATTTAATTGATTCCAATAAACTTCTATTGACATTAATGGTTTTTAGTACCCATTCGTTTGTTTTTCTTGCCATCCATGGTACACGTAAGATATGTCTATATCCTTTCATTTCGAATGCTTTTATGCGATCTTCGTCTTCTTTTCTGATGGTCCAACTTTCACATCCGTACGAGGCTATTGGCCATATAAGTGATTTCAACAAACGAATTTTCGTGTTCACCGGTATATTATGACTTTTCCAGAGCTTGTTTAAAGACGTACTGATTCCTTGTGCTGTACGAAGTCTGTTTCTTATGTCTTCTTTGCTTGTGGCGTTTTCTGTAATGACTGAACCTAAATAAGAAAAAGTGTTGACTTGTTCTAGCTGTAAGTTTTGTATTTTGATGCAACAGGTCGTTCCATCTGTCGTCATAACTTTGGTCTTGTCGATGTTGATGTGTAAGTCATATTTGTTTCTGCACACTGTGTCTAACTTGGTTACTAGTTCTTGAAGTTTGTTCATGGATTGTGTTGTAAGAACAATGTCATCTGCATAACGAAGATTTGTTATTTCTTGACCACCGATTTGGATACCACCTGTAAAGTCTTCCAATGTTTCTCGCATAGCCATTTCAGCTATGATGTTGAATAAGTAAGGTGATATTACACATCCCTGTCGTACTCCTTTCTTGATATGAAAACTTTCTGAAACGGTACCTGCCACTTTCACCTTCGCATTTTGTTTTTGATACAACTCCGCGAGTAAATGAATCAGATGTGGTGGATAGCCCATTTTCATCATTGTTGTCCAGAGCTTATTGTGAGATATTGAATCAAATGCTTTTTTAAAATCGATAAAACACATGAATACTGTTTGTTGATGTTCGTGTGTCTTTTCTAGTAATAATCTTAGGTTAACTACTTGATCTCGAGTTCCTCGTCCACGTCGAAATCCCGCTTGTTCGATTGCAATTTCTTCTTCGGTTTTCATTCGGATTCTTTCCAGAATGATCCTGAGGATAATTTTACTCGCGTGTGAAACAAGTGCAATTGTCCTATAATTGGAACATTGTTTGGAATCTCCTTTTTTGGGCAGTGGAATAAATAAAGAGTCCGTCCAGTCTTCTGGCCATTTTCCAGTCTTCCATATTGTTACACAAATTTGATGCATTAGTTTAATCGTCGATTCTCCACCATTCTTGATTAGTTCGACAGGTACATCGTCAGGGCCTGGTGTTTTTTGGCTTGCTGTGTCCTTTATTGCACGTTCCACCTCTGATATTAGAGGAGGTGGCTCTTGTTCGTCGATTTGAAAATTCCAATTAATTGTGTTGTCTTTTTCTTCATATAGTTCTTGGCAATATTCTTTCCAACGTTCTGCAATTTTTTCAGTCTCGGTGATGTTCTCGCCAGTTTTTGATTTTATACAGTTAAGTCTTGGATGGAATTTTCTTGTAATTTTTTTTGCTGTTTGAAAGAGTTTCTTTGTATTGCCTTTTTTGTTTTCCATTTCTAATTCATTGCATAACTCGTTCAATTGATTTTGCTTGTCCTGGCGTAGTTTCTTTTGTACTTCTGCTTTCAATTTTTTGTATTTTGTTGGATCTTTCTGTTTCATTTCTCGTTGTTCTTTAATCATTTCCATCGTTTGTGCTGATATCCATGATTTGTGCTTTTCTTGTTTCTTGTAGCCGACAATGTCTCTGGCTGTTTCCATCAAAACTGTTTTCACTGTCTTCCATAATAAATCTGGTGTTGTGTCTTCTTCAATTTCACCTAGTGTTGTAAATCTGTTTGTTACTGTAATGGCAAACGCTGTTGCTTTTTCTTCTTTTAGTTTTTCCACGTTAAGTTTCGGCGTCTCGTTTTTTTTGCGTATCTTGCGTAGTCTGATCCTTGTTGTTGCGACTAGCAAATGATGATCTGTATCACAATCAGCACCTGGATAAGTTGTGCAGTCCATTACGCTGGTTTTCCATTTTTGATTGATTGTGATGTAGTCAATTTGGTTTCTGCTTTTGCCATCAGGTGATTTCCATGTGTATAATCGTCTTGGATGTTTTTTGAACCATGTGTTGACCAGTATCAATTCATGTTCTTCGCAGAATTCCCTAAAACGATCTCCTGCATCATTTGCCTCACCTAGTCCAAATGGACCTACGGCTGGGCCGATTACGTTTTGTTTCCCTACCTTTGCATTGAAGTCTCCCATCATCATCATGATGTCATTTTTGGGGATCTTCTTGCTTGCGCGTTCCAATTCTTCGTAAAACGTTGCTGTGACTTCTTCTTCAGCTGTTGTTGTTGGTGCGTATACTTGAACTAATGTGATGTTCTTCGGTCTTGCATTCAGTCTTACAACCATCATACGTTCGTTGACTGGTTCATAGCTTATAATTGCTTTAGCTATTTTCCTATGTATCCATATTGCTACGCCATGCTGTCCACGTTTTTCATTTCCTGAATAGATAACAGTATGGCCTTTCGTTGTATTGAAGTGTCCTTGTCCTTCCCATCTGATCTCCGCTAGTCCGCATATGTCTACCCCTACTCTTTCCATTTCCTGTTCTAGTATATACATTTTTCCTAGTTGTAGCATGCTTCGGACATTCCAAGTGCCAATTCTTAACTTCTGTCGTAGCTGGATTGATGTCGATGAAATTGTTGTAATTTTGTTGTTGTTGTTGTTTGTTTGCTTGTTGTCGTTGTTTCCTCTTCTTCTTCTTCCAGTCACCCATTTTTCGACCCTGTCCTGGTTGCCCGACAGGGGACGCGGACCTTGTTGACCCGGGCGACGTCCGAGCCGGTATGATAACTGTTCCTTGTTCACCATGCTGTTTGGGAGTGTTAAGATGGTAGCTTCCCTGTGACTTTCCATCTCGCAGTACAGAGGGTGTTCATCATTTGATGATTACTGACCTCTGTTGTTTGCCAATCAGCCGTTGTACGATGCTCATCCGTTGATTGGCGTTGTAAAGGCTTGCTGCTGCCCAAGCTTTAACCGCCTGCGTTGGCCATCTGTTTTTCGGGGTTCCCGTTCAACCTGTCCACCTTGCGTAGCGCTCTTGGTGATTCTTCGGTAGAACCTTCATCACTGATGGTATAGCCTGGACGGGCAGTCTCTTACTTCAGATGTTCACTCCTTCACCACGTTGAGGTGCAGGACGGATTTTGAAGGAGCGTAGTTTAGTGCACTCTACTAATCAGAGCTGAATACATTGAAACCCTGCAAGCATATATCAAGCAAACTCTACATCTCCCTAAACTAAAATATAGAAATTATATAGAAAACAAGAGCGAACTCTCCATCTTCCTAAACTAAAATATAGAAATTACATAGAAAACAAGAGCGAACTCTACAAATTTTAATTCTTCAAACAAAATGACTGTTAAAAAATTAAATTATACTTCGTTTTTTGATTAATTTGAATTTTTCAGATTAAAAGCGATTGAAAGTNATTCCAACTTCACCGAAAGAATTTTTCGCTGACGGAGACATTGGAATGAGTGCACATGTGGGTGTAGGTGTAAGTGTGGGTGTAGGTATACGTGTGAGTGCGTGTGTAGGTGTGGGTGTGGTTCAGGGTCATTAAATGAGCGAAAAATTCTTTCGGAGAAGTTGGAATTCGGCGAAAATCGTTGTCGGCGAAAAAACAATTCGGCGAAAATGGACTAATTCATCTCAATTATCATGCAGGACTCTAATTAATCCACACAAGCAAGACTATGGAATGTTTCAAACACTTAATTTTCATAAAGTACTTTCGTCAAAATAGTTTAGATAATACTCATAATTTTTACATTTTGTCAAGTCTCTTATTCACTTGATCAAATCTAATATGTGCATGATTTCTCATTTTCCTATGATAATGAAAATTTTATATTGTGAACACAGGCATTATTAAATGCCTTGAATAAAGCGCTCTCCTTGACAAATGAAAACATGCAATCGACTAAAAAGCAAATGAAAACGCAATCTCTTGAAGCGAAACTAGATGTATGAAATCTTCTTTGATTTCGTTATTTTCTTTTTTTTTTTCGTTTATTTTTATGAATAAAGAAAACGAAAATTTATTTATGTTGATGTTAGTTTTTCATTGAGTACTAATTGTGCCTTAACTGCTCGTGAAAGATATTGAATCATAAGAAGATCCTAGAAAGAAAAAAAAATTCATTTACAAAATACAAAAATAAACCATTTATCATACATTCATGCTTGTATTAACCATGTTTTCAAGATCTTTAGCATCAACCCGTGGTACAGTATTTATTAAATTCATTAACATACGACCAATCTTTGGATCCGATGGTTTTTTACCTGACTATATTTGAAAAGAAAAAAAAAGATTAATTCTTCTTGAATGATAACAAAATACAAACTATAATATCATCAATATATGTTGTCAGATGTTTAAGCATAAATAAAAGTTTATCCAAAGCAACTTGAACTTGATCAAGTTCATCAGGTGGTTTAACTTGAAAATTTTTACTAAATTTTCCACCTTGAAATAAATCGACTAAATAAAAGAAAGAAAAAAATGTTTTGAATAAATAAAGAAAGGAAAACGAAACAAATTCTTTTTTACTTGCTGATTTTTCTTCATCATAAGTAACAATACGAACAGGTATTGGTGTAAATATAGTTCCATGTGACTTTAATTTATCCTTATCTTTAACACCAAAAGCAGCTCTGTAAAATTAAAAAATAATAATTACATTTTTTAAATGCTTCGATTAATATACCCTATATATGCTTTTATTTGAAAACTTGAATCATTTTTTAAACTTGTATCAACAAGTATATAAACTGGATTTCGTGCTTCATGTGTATAAAATTCATGAATTAAATTTGCACCTGATATCATATCGGAGCCTGTTGAATACCTGAGTTGTTTTGAGAAACAAACAAAAATCAACAGAAACAAAAAAAAATAATAATAATAATTTACCATCCGACAGTTCCTTGACTTGAATTTACTTTTCGATAAAAACTTGCCATTGTTGATGCATAATCGACATTATAAAGAGCCTAAATAAATTTTTTCTAAAATTCGTTCTAGTTTTTATATTCAATATAAATGGAAAGATTAAGATATAGATGAACTCTTTTCTATAGAAAAAAATATTTTTTTTGTCAAGTTTACATACACCTGCAAATATAAAGAATTAAACAATCTAACTATTTATACATAAATATTATTTTTGTTTTTGTAAACGGTAATAAAACTTTATCAGTAAATTCAATGTCTCAAAAATAAATTAGTATACATGACAACAATTTTGTCTTTTCCATTCGATTTGAAATATTATTGTCCGACTCAGCTTTTCTCTATATAGTCTAAGATCTTGTTCCAGAATTCTAGGATGGATGAACAAACATATCGTTTAAGAAAGATCAGACACTAAGCTATCTCAATTCCGACTTTTTTGACGGTGATCTTAAAGAGTATACTCATACGTGCAAAGGAAAAGTCTGTCTCGGGTAGGGCTCATCGGACCCGAAAATGTTGGATATGACTGACTCTAATATCGAGGACTATCTGAACAATAGAAAAAGTACATGAACTTGAAATGATTTATTTTTATAATTTATATACGAGCATCTCTGTGTTATATAATGACTTTTAAAGACTCTTATTTTTCATAATAAACTTATTTACATCACTATGTGTTGAATGTGGCACAACAAAACTGTCGACAACTTCGATTGAATCAGCTGTACGTGTACCTAAATTAAAAGCAAAAATTTAATAATAGATTTTTAATCAAAATTTCAATTCATTTACCTAATAAAGTTCCAAGAATGGTATCAAATTTTTCACTTCGACGTTCATAAGCATGAACAATATTGAACAAAGCCACGGGATGGATGTTCACTTCAAAATTATTACTAGACAATGCTAATGCCATCTAAAAAATATAAACATTAACTGAAAAATACATTTTAACAAAATATTTTTTTATTCATCATTCCAGTTATTCGACAATATTCTGGATGATAAATTCCTAATACAGGTATTTTATCAGCACAAGCTATGGAACATTTTGCTAACGTATGTACAAAACGTTCTGGTATAGGACATCGTAAACGATTTAATAATTTACTAGATTTTAAATCCCATATATTTAAAATATGATATTGTGAACAAGCAGCAATAAAATTTTCTGTATTAGTATCAACAGAAAATGAAAAATGTGGATTATTTAATGACGATGATGATGATGATGGCGTATCATAAACAAGTAAAGGTTTTGTTGGCATACGTAAATCAATAAGATTAATTCGTTCATCAAATGAACTTGTTAAAATACAATTAAATTTTGTTTGTAAACATTTAATTGTTGAACAAAGTATTGGAATTCTTAATGAACATAAACGATTTGATTGTCGAATATCCCATTGTTGAAATAAATGTCCATTTGTTGTATAAATTATATTTGAATTATCATTTGAAAATTGTATATCATTTAATGTAACTCGACGTATTGGTACACGTAATGATAAAATTTCCTGAAATGTTTGAAGATTATAGACATATAAATAATTATTAATATTAAATGCGAAATTATCAAATGATTTCGAATAACAACATGGACCAGAACATTTTATCATTAATGGTGATGTATGATTAATTAATGAAGATGATAATTCTATAGTTTGACATTTTTCTTTATAGTAATATTTTGGTGCTAATGAATTATTTGATAACATTTGTAATGAAAGATTGGATGATAAAGATGAAAATTGAAGAAAACGAATAATAACATGATTTTCATCGTTTAATAATGTTGTTGACATTAACGATGAAGATGAATCGATGAAATATGATGAACGACAACCATCAATTGAATTTGGTTGCAACTGATATGAATATAATGGATGTTCTAAGAGATTTACATATAATTTATAATCAATTAATTGGATACATTGACCAGTTGATGTTATTGTCATTTCATAATTAGTATTAGACTGTGAATCTATTGGAAATGAAAATGATGAAGAATTATCAAGAAAACATGTTGATGAAAGATTTTCAATAAAATTTGAACGAATAGTATTATGACAAGATTCTAAATAAAATAAAATAATTTTTTTTATTTGAATTGATTTATATTAATCTTACGAATTGATGTTTGGCCATATTCTCGTTGACGAAGTATAGATAAACGAGATTTATTTAATCGTTTTTTTTCTTTATGTCGTTGAGAACTTTTTTTTGAAGAAGATTTTAATAAATCAAGTTGTTTAGAAATAAGTTGTTCTTGTCGAGCTCGATCATTAATAAGACGAGCACTTGGAACAGCATTGGATGATTGAGATAATATACGATAATAACGTTGTTGAACTGCATCGAAATAAAAACCAGGAATGTCTGAAGACATGAGGAATTTATTATACGACAAAATGTACTTGAAAATAGTTTTTTTTTATTGTGAAAACTTACGAAATACGGAAAATGGTCTCTTGTTGGAGAATAAAATAGGATTGAATAATTAATGGACTTTACCGAACATCATGGATAGATGGCGCTAGATTTCACGAATGTGAATAAAAAAAAACATAGACAGTCTGACAATAAAATCGAATTCTGTGTATTGAGTGCTCAAACTGGAATTTTATGTGTCCGTTATTGTAACTCTTCCCAATTGAGTTAGGTATGACATTGTGCCAATCCTCCTTGTTGTGGGATGATTTGAATTGTAGACTTCGGCCAAATTCAGATGATTTAGAGGATAAGATTTTTGGTATTGGTAAATTTCAATGACTTTTTCGAACATGAAAACTACTTTTGGGTGTTCGTTTATTCTAGACTATACTTCGGCAATGCTACCTTAGAAAATAATTAACTCGAAGTACGGTGAAAGAAAAGCTTTTTCAAAAATTATTCATCCTAAAAATAAGTTTGATGTCTAAACTTTTGCAATGTAAGATAGTTTTCAATAGTGATTATACTGACGAGAGAGCCTCTTCTGTTGCGTCCTTCCGTTTTCTATGATTTTTCACCTACAGCTAACACAAACTGTTCTAATACAAACCCTAAAACGATTTTGGTTCTTATTAAGATTTGACTAAGTTATCAGTTTTTTGTCTAAAGGCTCCAGGTTGTCAGAAAACTCGTATTTTCGAATTTTGATCTGTAACTTTGCTCATATCTAGAACTCAGCTAAATTAGCTTTTATTAAAAATATTCACAAGTTTTGAAAAAAGTCGATCCGATACGTGAAACTTTCAAGTTATTGATCCTTTTCTGTGGATAGTGTGCACAACATTCATTTTTTGAAAGCTTGATGTCTCGATGTGATTTTCTTCAAAATTAGTGAATTTTTTTATGGAAACTAGATTAGTTGACTTCTCTACAGGGTCGGAAATAATATTATTCCACGAGGGTATAACGCTATAGTTTCAAATAGTATCAACAATACATTTGATACAAAATTGAAGCACGTCGAAAATGGGGTTTATCAACATTAAATAGTAAGGATTATGGCAACTTTTCAGAATCGAATTCAGGATACCCCTGAATTTTACGCCATGTCGACATAAAAATTCTTCTCATGAGACAGTTCAAACTAATTTCATTTAAAATGATAATTATCACAAAGTAATCGATACCTTGCCTAGAAACATGAAAACAAATAATCAAAAATGGAGTTAAAGAATGTCATCAAAGATGAAACATACTTCTTATCACGAAGAAACTGAGAAAAGAACACTTCTAATGTTTTGACAAACATGGAAAAAAAACATTGAGTTATGAGAAACTTTTTAATGTTCGTATGCATCTTGTCTCGGTACTGTAAAGAATGTTCATGGTCGTCATACTGATTACTGATTATATTCACCAAACCTTAAAAAAACAAATAGCACTTTGTGATATTCAACATTTTGAGTGTGATGTAGTTTGAACTGTCTCATGAAAAGAATTTTTATATGTCGACATGGCGTAAAATTCAGGAGTTTCCTGAATTTGATTTTAAAAAGTTGCCATAACCCTTACTATTCAGTATTGATAAACTCCATTTTTGACGCGCTTTAATTTGGTATAAAATACGTTGTTGATGCTTTTTGAAACTATAGCGTTACCCCCCTGGAATAATATTATTTCCGACCCTGTATATGGACAAAGTTTCGGATCAAAATTCGATGATTCAGTCAAATCTCAATAGGAACCAAAACCCTTTTAGAGTTTTTATTATAATACTATGTTGCATCTAAAGACAAAAAAAATTATTGAAATCCGAAGGCTATTTCCATGTAAGCGTTCGTACTTCTTACTTGAATATGAATGTGTCCAATCTTTTCGTTCGTTTCGATTCATGTTGATATTCGACTATATTATTGAGCGATCTCTAGTAGGATTGACGATACTCATCTATAGACAAATTTTTACAAAATCTTATTATATCCCCATAATTGCTGACGTTTATTTCATTAGTTGATCGATTCGACAGAAGCAATAAACTATCATTGATCAGAGTAAAATACAAAGATTTATATTATATTCTTAATATTTTTATTTAGTAATTCAAATAGATTCATCTTATTAATTCGATTAATTAAAAATTCATTAAAATAATAATAAAATACTTTCGTTTTATTTGTGTCTATAAGTCAATGATATATGTCAAAAATTTTAAATATATGAAGACATATCTGTTGGTAAAAGTGATAAAGAATTTTTAATAAATGGATATGTACCATTATTACAAAATGCTCCATTAAAATCGTCCATATCAACTAAAGAAAATTAAAAAAAGAGAGAAAGAATTCAATAAAATTTTTATTCTCAAGAAAAACTACATACGTGACCATATAAATAATCCTCCGAAATTATTAGCTACAACGTAGGCTGCTCGTTTTTGTACATTTTCAAAAGTGTCGTATGAAATCCAATCACGATCTTTAAACATATAACCAGATTCTGATCCATCTGGTACTGAATGCATTCTCCATTGAGCATCTATTTGTAGTAGACAAACCTTTACATATAAAACGACATAAAACCATAGAAAAATTAAGTCTATAAGATAAATTTACTTCAAAATAGGATAAAAACCCAGCACTACGTGTAAATGGACCTTCCGTCCCATTACCAATAGTTGGTGATTGAAGTTCATGTTCATCTGCTCGTGCTAATAAAAATGTTCGAGCAAATAATGGAATACCAAGAACAAGTTTATGAGCTGGTGCTCCATTCTTTAACCATAGATTCATACCAAAATCCTTCAAGATATTAAAACTATCAACGTAAACAGACTAGATAAATTTCTAATTTACTTGATTCATCATTGCTTCAGTTTCAGTTTCACCCAAACGTCTATATAATGGAGCATTCAATCCTGTGTGGTTTTGCCATGCTCCATGAAAATCACTAGAATAATCTCTTTTATTTAGATATTATTCTACATACAGAGTGGTTCATAAGTAACTTTACGATAAAACAAAATGAATATCTTCACTGCATGACGCTAATTTCCTTTTTGTGATAGAGGAGACTTCAGACGTTTTTATTCGTAGAAGAACAACATTTATGAATATTGCTTCAAAGTGTCATCATTGGTTCCAATAATGAATCTCGATCTTCGACAATATTGAAGATTGTTCGAAGAGATTTATGTGTGTATATTCATACATTCATTCTTCAACGAATATATTCGATCTTGTTTTTCGTTTTTTTTTCTTTCTCATTACCGATACTGATACTTATCTATTTCTCAAGTACATTAGTCAAAAAAACATTCCACTGTGGAAGTGAAAAGTACCTAAAATTGAATTTTTTAGTCTCATATAACTTAACCATAAATAGAGCATGTAGAACTCTAATGGCAAGAATCAATCAGAACTTGATCGATCTTCACGCAGAGGAGCTAGTCGGTCAACAGAGGTTTTTCTTTAGACAATGATGTTTCAAGAATAGAAAATTAAAATCTCATGACATTAAACTTCATTGTAAATGCTTTCCATTAAGGTCTATCGATTTCGGGTTACTGTTTGCAACCAAATACTGTATATTGAAGTGAAAGTGAGAACTACTTTGATTATCCTTACTGGTGCTTATTTTTATAGAACTTTCGAAAAACTATATATATTATGATCTTTAGGTTTGAAATTTCTTATGGAAAAAGAAGTTAGATCTAAGGAGTGGAACAAAGTGAAGAGATTCAAATTTTTTATCATACACCTACATATAGACCTCCCTGTATATGTTTATTAACTTACTAAGTCATAATATTAATAAAATCTAAAATTCTGAATATAGAAAAAAAAAACAAGGTTTAAGCAAGTAAAATTAAAATTTTTTTTACTTTGCAATTTTATCGATTTCATAGCCATGTGAAACAATATCTTGATTAGCAGCTACGGCTGCTGCTATTAATAATCGTGATTGCCCCGTAACAATCGATTGTGCCATTGCAGCTTCTTTAAATTCCTATGAAATATACACATTTATATCCTGCTTATTTGAGTTTCAAATCAATTTCTAACTTGAAAAAATAATGTTAAATAATGTTTATCATCTGGTTGTCCACCACGTATACCTGGATATTCCCAATCAACTTCCAAACCATCAAAATTATGTTTATGAAGAAAACTATGAATAAAAAGAGTGTTCGAACTAATGTGTATTTGCTTTTACTAATGATTTACTTAATCGTATCAAAAATAAAATTTCGTCGTTTTCCGTCGTCATGAACCATGATTGAAAATGCATGCGATTTCATATTCCATCCACCAACGCCTAATAATGTTTTTAATTTTGGATTACGTTTTTTAAGTGCATTTATACGTCGATAGAGATCTAGTTTTAATTAGTAAAAAGTTTTCTTTTGCGGCTATATATATATGATAAGCAAACCTTCATCATTTTCTTCTACTGTTTGTATTAAAAATGTTTGATTGCTTATATAAGCAAAAGCATAGATAATATGTGTACAAAGAAATGGATCAATATGTTCAGGTTCAAATTTAGCCGGAACATCTCGATATTGAGACCAGTTAGTAAAATAACAAATTTTCTTGTATTTCAATTCATCTATAATAAAAGACAAGCTGTTGTTGCTAATCACAAATAGATTGTTTTATTCTATCTACTTGGCGATAGGTTTCCTCATCATTCTTTCACTTAATCCTTCAAAAAATGTTATGAGGAAGTGGTTCATATATAATAATGATGTATGGTCTGGGACGTCTCCATGGTTACGTCTGTGATGTCTCGTTGCTAAGATATTTGTGGAAGATGGGATTGAAAGTTCTACCTCTGTAACTCAACATTCCTTATAGATTCTACTTTACAAAATAACGATTATTACCAAAAAAGAAATCTAGATAGGAATTGAATATCGAGAATTCATATGGAAAAAACGTGAACGAGTTGGTAGTTAAGAATAAATCATATTTACCTTCGCTAACAGGTGTAGGATAAGGATGTTTAAAAGAGAAATAATTTAATTTTGAGCTGAATGATGGTTTTTGCTCAAAAATTGATTTATCTTTTAATTTCATAAGTGGAAAACCATTTGCCCAAAAAACACCTCCGTCATGTTCGGCTTGCTATTGAAAAAAAAAACATATAAATATTGGTTAATTTGATTAACCACTTACTTCATTGAAACTTTTTGTTGTCAAAAATGGTTTTATTGTAGTTGTTTGTTGTTCTTCATTAAGGGTTGGTTTAGATAAAATAAAATTTGTAATTTTTTGAAATAGAGTATTATCTATTGATGATAATGAAGTAATTTGATCCAAAGTTTTTTTCATCGGAACTTTCATTAAACATTGTTGTAATGTTTCATCAAATATTAATTGATCTGGACATCGATATAAAGGCCAACTACTAAGACCAATATAATTAAGGATACATGGATAATACTGTGATGGATTATTCTGATAGACACATAGACGAGGAGATTCTTTTAAAGATATTAAAAATTTAAATCAAAAATTTTTTACATTCGACTTTCTTACTTGAATATTGTTGAGCAATTAAGAAATTGGATAATAAATATGAAAAACAGAAACAAAGAACGAATGTTGAGCATTGAAGAATCATTTTTTTTTGTTATATTAAGTTCGAATAAATACATATATTTATACTGCTTTGAATTGATATAGATACTTTTTATAACCAAACAAAATGATATACTATTTCTCTTCTTCTTTCTCTGTGTCCTTTCCTTTTTCTTTTAACGAGTTTTTGATTACGTCATGTAATGTATTGACGGATCGTATTTAAAAATGATAACTAGGATCAATAGAATACTTAAAAAGGTGTATATCTATCTTCGTTTCGCAACACCTAAAAAGTCACATTGTTCACTTGTTTGTCTTTGATGAACATTTACTATATGAATGTTCAATTATGAACAGCATATTTACAACCAAGGTTATCACTACTGTTCAAACAGAATGATCCATCCGTTACTTATCTCATATTTCTTATTGTTTTGATTAGAGTCAAATTCCTTTTTTTTTCTTATGTCAATGGATTGTTTTATGATACAAAGGTATCTATAGTTCAGTTTAATAGTAAGGTTGTGTCCAACTTGTTCTCAATGCATTGTATGTTTGTTTGTGTAAGTATATGACATTTGATGTTCAATGGTATGTACCAGATATATATACATAGTTTAAGCTGTTGACAAGCGGATCTCTTACTGGTCTCGCACGGAGGATTGAATTGTTTGATTAGTGAGCAATTCTTTTGTTTCTTTCAACAATGACACACACTAAAGATACTTAGTTATAGTGTATCGTGTCTGTCATTCATCGTCGTTATTGTTATTTGTGTATGTTCTTATTTATAGTGAAGCTTTGAAAAGAAAAAAATTAAAATATGCATCAATATTATTCATTATTATCATTGATATATCATTTAACATTCATTTTACTTATTATCATTATAGGTCAAATAAATGATGTTCATGCAAATCAAATAAGTATGTTTAAGAATATAATGGTTAAGTAGGAAGATTGTACTAAGAAGATTACGAATTGTTCAAAAATGTTTTGCTGTCTCTTTCTTTTTTGTGCAAAAAAAAACATTAAATTCTATTTAGATTTAAAACAATCTTATTGTCGAGATCTTCGTGATTGTCAAACTTATTTTCCTTGTGCAGTTTTTTCCAGTGGTTTTAGTTATTTATATGTTATTAAACGTTGTCCAAATGAACAAATTTTTGATGAAGCAAAACAGAAATGTATTAAAAATACATTTACTGATCCTGCATGTTTGAAACCAACTGCTGTTGGAAAATCTCGATTAACTACAATACGTCCTTCTAATCTTAAACAAATAAAACGAAATAATGATACTATACGTCGAAATATAAAAGTACCACTTCGTGCACCATCGTTAAATGTTTTAAAACGAAAAAATTTTGATATTAATCAAATAGAAGAAAGAAATTTACATGAAGAAAAATCTGAACAATTAGTAACAGAATCTCCACAAATTCAAATAAAGCAAATTAATGATAATACAAAAATACATCGTGTATGTTATATTACCAATTGGTCACGATATCGAACTGGTGAAGCTAAATTTGAAATTGAATATATTGATCCATTTATGTGTTCACATATTATTTATGCTTATGCAACTGTTGATGATCATAAACCAGAAATTAAACCTATACAAAAAGAAGATATTGGTAAATGAGATTTATTGTTTAATCAGTGAATATTTATGTTTTATTCTTGATCTAGAACATTATCGAGAACTAGCTTTATTGAAAAAAACTAATCCAGATTTAAAACTTTCAATTCGATTAGGTGGAAAAAGTACTCAATATAGTCGGTATCTTAAATCATCAAAAACGGCTGCACAATTAGTTCGAAGTCTTATTTGGTAATTTTTGTTATTTTAATCATATAATAAAATAGAATCTATTTTTATTAAAACAAAAATAATAAACTAGGTATATGGCATCGTATGGTTTTGATGGAGTTGATATAGCTTTTGAATTTCCTGATGAAGAAGTTCCTGAAGATAAAATCGCATTAACTACATTACTTGAAGTTAGTTTAACGTTTTGATAGAGACAAAATAATATTTAATGAAAATTTCTTAGGAAATTTCAAAACAAAAACGATTAATGACACGTACAATAGTTACATTAACAGCAGCACCATTTGTTGATCATCTTCTCAAGGTATACGAAGTTCAAAAAATTGAAAAGTAATTTATTTATATTTTATTCATATTTCAATCAAAAAAAAAATTCTGTCTATTGATAGATTAGTTAATTATATCAATCTAATGACGTTTGATTTTTATGGTATATACAAAGAATATGATCAACAATAGTATAATGATTTGATTTCTATAGGTCCATGGGATGACAAAACAGGTGCGTTTGCTCCATTATATCATCAATCATATCAAGTTGAATCAGAATCACTTCGTAATGTAGTAAGTAAAGAAATATATATGCTTCTTTCATAAAACACAATCTAAAAAGAGTGTTAAAGTATAGAACTGGAAAGGACACCACTGGGTTAGATCGGAATTCTGCCATCCTCTTATATCTCACTTTCAATAGAATAGAAAGATAGAGCATGAAATTTTGCACATTTCTGTCGATTTATTTTGTTTTTTGGTGAATCCAAAACAAATTTTTGTGAATTAAATAGTTTGAGAAGGTTCTATCGTTTTTGGATGTTTCGAATAATCACTATGGTATCTGTCATGTTTCTACTATAAACCCAGTATGAAAACCAATAGCACAGATCGATGCAGTTGTTCATGCTCTACAAATTGATATAGGGATCATATTTACTCTTATGCTCTGTCTTAGATTATGTAGGATCATGCAGGTACGATATCGTATCTGCCAAGCTTAGAATAATCTAATCGATAAATATGATCACTATGTAATTTTGTAGAACATGAAAAACTACGCCACCATAGTTATTACAGAAAAATGTCCAAAACTGTTTAATTCTCGAATTTCTTATTGAATTTCTGGAGTACTAAGTAAAAATGATGGTGAAGGAATGTATCCTAGAATACATAGAATAAAAAAATCTTTTTGTGATTAACAAGAACAGCTAAACGTGTTTCACATTTTAATTCTGCAAGGATTACGCTAACAGCTTTTTTTTCTTTCATTGAATTATTTGATTATCATAGGATGGTCTTGTTAAATTATGGTTAAGTCTTGGTGTACCAAGACAAAAAATTCTTATTGGTATTCCAGCTTATGGTCGTTCATTTACATTAGCTAGTAGACAAAAAGGTCTTCATGCACCTGGTTCGTTTTTTTGTTTATTTTAGTTTTGGTATTATTATACTTGTCTTTTTTTCTAGTGATTGGTCCAGGTTTTCCTGGTCGATATACAAAAACTCGAGGTTTTCTTTCTTATTATGAGGTTGAAATGTTTTTTTTTATGGTTTAAAACTTATTGTTGTGATTTCTTGTTATTAGATATGTGAGAAAGAACATTCTAAAAGTTGGCAAAAAGTGTGGTTAGATACTGAGAAAGCTTGGTACATGACGAGTGGTGATCAATGGATTAGTTACGAAGATGTGGATTCAGCAACAATAAAAGTAATTTATAAAAAGGATATTTTTTGTTAGATTGTTTTAATGTATGTCTTAAAAGGCTCAATATGCGAAAGCAGAACAATTAGCTGGAGTATTCATATGGAGTATTGATAATGATGGTAATTAATGATATTTTATTAAAAATATTTTACTCTGTTTTTGTTTTAGAATTTTCTGGTTTCTTTTGTAACACAGAACCATTTCCAATTACTCGCCAAGTCTTTGCTACTCTCAATCTACCTGTACCAATTACTAGTGCACCAGCAATTGCTATTCAACCACGTCTACCAGCTGCTCCTGCTGCTAATCCACCTATTCACTTTGTTAATGTTCAATCTCAACCATCTCCTTCATCATCAATGTTACCTCTACATTTACAAAAATTATTAAATGCTCTTAGTGTTTTATCAGGTACAACAAGTTATACACCTATAATTGAAGCTACACCACCACCCCCACCATCACCAATAGCACACCAAACATATAATGCTGAATATATATGTAGTCGTCATCGTATGGGACGTAATGGAATTCATCGTGATCGTACAAATTGTTCAATATTTTATTTTTGTGAAGGTGATGATTTAGCATCATTAAGATATCATATATTTTTTTGTCCACCTGGACTTGAATTTTCAATGGATGGTTGTACATGTGATTGGCCAACTGGTCGTTCATGTCCAACAGGTGGTGATACATTTTGTGTTACACATTCGATTGTAACAACAACAACAACAACGACGACGACAACAACAACAACAATTGCACCATATATTCCACAATCAGCAATGAATACATTAAATAGCTTAGGTCAATTATTAGGCATATCAGGTGGTACAACATCAGCATTTGATTGTGCTGGTCGACGATCTGGTCTTTATCGAGATATGTATGATTGTACAATATTTTATTTTTGTACAACAAATGATCAAACATCACATGGAACATTATTACGTTATGATTTTATTTGTCCAGCTAATTATGCATTTAGTATGCTAACATGCCGATGTGAACGTGGACAAACACATGAATGTCGTACACTGACAAAAACTGATTGTCTTCTTTTGTAAATAATTCGAATTGTCTTGTTTTTTGTTTTGTTATTTAAATTAAATGATATGATATTAACAAGACAAATAAAGATTGTTTTTTTTTGCAAAAAGAAAACGAGAATAATTAAATTTACACATATCAATGACAATAAACAGAAACATCCATTTACTTTTTTATATTTGATCTTTCTCGAACAAGTCATATCTAATGGACATATGCACTTTTGAACATCATTCAGATATTGATGGAGATATAATTTATGCTTTTTAATATTATCTTTTGTTGCCGTTGTTGCTACAGTTTCGGTTCGATGCGCATTACGACATGACGATCATGACCTTTAAAAAATGTGTATGTTCATCTCAATTGCTGAGCGCTAACCGTGTCCATTATCATATGCCTATATATATATGCATCTATGTACGAGAAAAAATGTTACCTTGACTCATTTGAGCAATATGAAAAAAAAAAACTAAACTTTAAAACTAACCGAAAAAGATCAGATTATTCATTTCTTAACAAGAGTGTTCATCATGAACATTGCAATGCAACAACAGCCAATATCATATCCATTTTATATGGGTACACCACGGTTTCCCTTATCTATTCCATGGTCTTCAGGTTCATTCAATGTACCTTCTCCTCGTCGTGGACAATATCTATCCTCATATCCAATTCATCAACCATTATCACCATTTGTTCTATCTCAACAACAAAATCCAAATCCAGGAATATTATCTGCATCTCCATCATATTCTAATAAACGTTACCAACATTTAAAAAAATCAACCAGTCATTCTCATCGACGTCCTTCACATCGATCACTTGATATTTCAAAAAGATCTTATCATGATTCTGAATACAATGAATCAGCTCATACTCAACAAAGTCGGCCATCAAAAACGAAATCTGTGTCTGATTTTGACCATATGTCTCAACTTACTTCTATTCATTTACCTAAAGCTCATTCATGGCATACAATGATGAATCATCGCCAAGCGAATTTAAGTGTTACTTATGCAAAAGAAATGGAGCTAACTCCAAAACGTCGTCGAAAACATTCACCAAAAAAACACAGAAAAAAACGTTCCCATAGACGTTTATCATCGTCACCAAAACGAAATCCATCATTTATTAAACATCGAAAACGATCTATACCAATGCCTGAATATGGTATTGTTCGTATATCCACATTAGATGAAATTCCAATCAATAATAATCAAATAAATAAACGAAATAATAGTATTAATAATGATCGTTTATCGATGAAAGGAAGTGTATCGAATTCAAGTAAACGTCGAAAAATATCAAAAGAGAAACCAAAAGAAACTAATTCAATAAAAAATCGAAACATTACAAAAAATGGTAAGAAAAACAAGTTAAACTTTTATGAGAATAAAATTTTTCAACTATTCTCTATTTAGAAGAAATTCGTATGGATATCGATACTGAATCTTCGTCATTATTATCCACTAATAGTTATTCATCATTACAACAACGTTTAAATGGTTCATTACGTAATGATCCATTAATTATTGCTGCTATGGAAGATTTTCGACAACTTCGTCGAACCTCCAGTCAAAATATATCAATAACGTAAGTTTTTTTTTAATTTTTTCCAATTTTCATTTACTTTGTACTCTTCTCTAATTTAGTCCTCGTAATCGAAGTCTTAGTCGTGATAGTCTTTCTTCAGATTCAACATTGCAATCATCAATAATATCTCGTAGTCATAGTCAATCGAGTTTTACATCTGTTGAACGTATAGAAATTCGTGAATTAATTAAAACAGTTAAAACCCAAGGTACAACATCGTTAAATGTTTCTCATCAATCAGCAACAATTGCAGTATGTGTACCATCACCTGATCAATCGATAATAACAAATATTCAACAACCATCAACACCAAAAAACAAACCAAAAAAGTCTTGTGTTACAGAAGAATTAGATCGTGAATTTAGTAAATTACGTGCAATTGATCCAGATCAAGAATTAACGTATGTAATACCATCATCAATGTGTAAACGAAAAAAAACACTAGAAAAACCTATTGAAAATGTTCCACCTGTACCAAAATTTGATGAACTTTTACGTCAAGTTCAATTACGTCCAGTTAATAAATCAATAAGACCTGTATGTGTTCTTTATTGTCTTTTTTTTTCTATTAAATTTCAAAATTCTTTTTTTTTTTCATTGAGATATTACCATTGAAAAAAAAATCAACAGATGATAATTATGAAAATCCATTATCATGTATTCCTGTTCCACGAAGTAGTCCAATACCAACACCTGAAATAAAAATTGAAGAAACTAAACATGATTATGCCATACCAATTAAAAAAACTGAAGAAAAACCTCCACCACCATTATGTCATTTTCAACCAATTCGTAAGTTTTATTTAAATAAACCAAGAATTAATAGTGTACTTGAAAAACGATCAAAATTTAATTGGTTTCAATATGGTCTAACAAATCAAATGCCAACAACATTTCAACCAAATCCTATTGTTAATAATCAAAATGAACTTGGAACAAGTGGTGTTCAAGAAAATATTTATACATCAGATATTGATATATATATACCATCATCAACTACAGATAAAAACGATGACAATGCTCTTCAAACTCATCTTGACGATCAAACTATTGTAACAGATGATTTTTATTCTGATTTTGGAACAAAACAAATAACAGTTTCATCATCTTTAATAGATGATTTTTCAAATTTATTTACACGTAAACATAAACATGAAGTTAAATTAAATAAAAAACATCAACGTTGTTCAATTATGTAGTGAGAATGTTTTTATTTATATGTATCTTTTAATATTGATTTTTATATTAAATATTCATTTGCAAGTTTGTCGAGTACCTTTTGTGACACCACTAAATATATCATGGTTACATATTGTTGGACAATAACATTCATCATCTATGTTATCATTTATTTTTCTCTCATGATCAATCAATAAGAATTACTAAGAAATTTGTTATTCAATCTTTTAGGGTTTCATATGCATAAATGTCGAGATATTTACTCTCTGAATACTATGCAAAGATCCTTTAATTATCATGAAAACGAAAAGAATAATTCGCAGTAGTCTCTGACTAATTCTAGAATTCGTCTAACTGTTAATTATGTTGTATTGATTAATAATTTGAATAGAGCGATAATTAAGACTATGCATTTATGATTTGATTGGAGAATATATGACTGTCTAAAGGTGTGTCAATTCGAAATGAATGATATACTGGACTTGAATGATAGGCTGAAATTATCATATGTGACGTAAACTCTACAATAGCAATTACTTGTCAAGGCTCAATTCAAGTTTAAATAATAAATTTAACGAAGACCTTAAAAAAAATAATTCTTTAGTTCCGTAACATTTCGATCAAAAGATAAAAACCAATGTTCTACTCGAAAAAAAAAGATTTAATCGAAGAACAGTATCTAATTGTTAGTATAATCCTCAGTCAATGATTGGTTCTAGTTTCGAAGTTAATTTTTATCGTTGAACATCACTTTTGCATATACATGTCAAAACTATAGAGGTCAACAATGTTGATAATAAGCTACAGCCTAGATACCGATCTTTAGTTCATTCGTATCTTTCTCGTTCTTTGTTGTATGAGCTCTTTCTGTTCATTCATATATTTTTTCTACTTTTTTGACATTTTATTCAACCTTTCAACAGCCAAATCCAACTTCCAGTTACTAGTAGATGTCAATATACCAGTCATTTCTCACACGTAATTCCGAGAAATTTATGTTAGAACTTTATTTTCATTATGATATCACTGCATTTCGTTGTATACTGTTGTTATTGATTTTTTCCTCAAAATAAAGTCTAACATGAAATTCTCATCTAATTATTACTATATAGATATTACTAACTATGTATCTTTCTTTGTTTGACTCCTGTCATTTTGCTGGATTGTATCTACTAAAGTTCTATTCTTCATTGTCTGCCTGCAAGAAGAAGCACATAGTATTATGAATCATGTGAAGCCATTCCTTATTCTTAAATACATGATTTATGATAACAATTAGATTTAGAATTCTAATACTCATTCAAAAGAGTAGTGTCAACATCAAATATAAACTATTTAGAGATGATTTCTCAATGGATGAACTGTTGATCTTCGTATGATAAAATTTTCTAAAAACTTGATATCAATTCGTTGTTTTCTTTTCAATCGAGCCTTTTATTTTTCCATAAAAAAACCTTTGTTGAGCAACAGAAAAAGCCTACCAACCACATACATTTCATAATTTTACAAACATGTTCCAATTCTTTGTAGTTCATTCGGACATTATTTTTGTTTATGATCTTATTAATAAATGTTTGCTAGTTTAAGCTTTTGTAAAAATACTGTACAATCAGACAGTCGAATTCAACATATCACTGTCGCCATGTTTTGCATAGTTATTCAACCCTTATCTATACTTTTTCATAAAACTTTTGATTTGTTCGAACTTATGAATAATGATTTAGTCTGAAACATTCGATCTGTATTTACAAGAGACTATTGATTGTAAAAACCAAGCCGAATCAGATTGATTTCTTTTATTTCTCCTATATGTCGAATTAAATTTTAATTCTAATTAGTCAAGATAAATTGATTAAGATTCTATTTATTTCAAATATTACACTATTCCGTACTTAATTACTAAATGTTTATTCCAGATTCCTCAATGTTAATGAACAATAAACAGAAAGAATGTTTCAATAAATATTTTCTCATAAAAAAAAAAAAACGAGTTTGATAAATTATGAAAGTTACTAAACCCTTTCGTTACTGACAAAAAATAAACATAAGTAAAATTTATAGTAGCTGTAAGAATATGAACCATAACAAAATTATGATGTTAAAAGGTACTGCTGTTTAACGTTTGCTTTTACACATTTTAAGTGGTTGTATTAGTATCCTTCGATGATGCAACTTCCAACGCATATATATACTGTCGTTAACCAAAAGTTTAAGTAAATAGAATTCTGATGTGATTCATACATATTCTTCAAAGACAAAAATCTTGTTGGAAACTTTTAACAAATTGTTTATCAAGTGATATATTTCGTAATTCAATAAGAGTTCAACTAAAACTACGTTTAGCATTCTAAAAAAACGTTAATATGTACAGGAAAAAGTAATACGCTTAACGAAACATGGTCTCTAATTATACTAATTTTCATGCCACGAAATTATTTATTATAAAGTGAGTTAGTTTAGTATAAATAAATTTATCTAGTCAATAAGAAATAAAACTGCTTGTATAAATCTATTAATTTTTACAGAGAATAATTTATTATCGTTCAATTTCCATAATTTTTAAGTTCTTACAAAGAACGTGAGAATTATGAAAATAGTATTCTTCTTAATCAAACTCTTTTCATAAATATTTCATGAGATATTTTATAATCTGTAAATTCCAATGTCATATCAGTATTCTATACGTAAAATCAATCTTTTATGACTAAAAAAAAAACAATCAAACTTTCAGTATTATAGTTTTTCTTATTTATTTTCTATAAAGATTTATTATAATTTGGGCAATGGAACTGCTAGATGACGATTGACTTAATGCGATATTCCTAATCAAACTCTTTTTTTCGCTTCCATGAAGTACTTCAGTATCTTGAGCAACACTTGAGACTTTCTGCCGAGCTCAAGCATTTGCGTTTCTTATTTAAGTGTGTGTAAAACTGATTAAAAACGAAATACTGCATCAAAAACAACACGGCCTAGACAGATTGACAGTATAAATGCGTTCCAATCGCAAGCTAATCATCTGTATCACAATAAGAGAATAAATATTCATGATGCATGAAAATACTTTTAATTAAATGTTACATGCGCTTTTCAGTTTTATTTTCAAAATGATTTGACAATTAATAAAGATTCATAGCTTAAAGAAGAAAGATTGTAACAGGCATGTCAAAAAGAAATCTACATTAGTAATTAAATGCAAACATTGTCCATGGCAACGAGCATTCTTTCGCTCTGATCAGAATAACTATTATTATTGTGTTTCAGCTGATCGTTCCAAGTATGCTCATATTTATGATATTCATAAGTTTAATAAGAAACTCACAAGAAATTAAATTTATACAATTTTACATTACGTCTTATCAAGCTACAATGACTTTGATAAATTTTACATCTTTTAGCATCTTTAGTTTTTTTAGGATGTGAGCGAGATGAAGTCTCTAGTGCACTTCCATCGTATAGGAACTGAAAGGAAATAACAATAACATATAGAACGATAAACATAATGGTGACAAGATGCCTACTAATATGTTCTGTTCGGTTTATACTTCCTATTGTTAGAGTTGTAGAAAATGTGTGAATATAGATAAGTAAAACGGAATAAATTTAATTTCTCGTGAACTTATGCATGTGCTATGAACACATCTTACGGTTTGTACATGAACATATTAAAATGAAACTAATGACCAATTTTAATAGAAGACAAATATTTTTAAGATATTTTATGAAGTATTCATTTGGAGAAAAAATACAATGGCAAATGATCTTGACAAGAATATAGCGCTATGTGAAGAGAGAGAATACTTAGAAGTTCAATTCATCATTCGCATTAGTGGTTTGATTAGTTCATACATACTACCATCATCTAGCACCACCTATCCGCTTATGATTTGCATACGATAAACCAATGGATTTTTCTTCTGCACTCTCACTATTTTATTCGTTGAATACCCCCCTTCACAAATCTACAGATGAAGAGGAAAGAATAGACTTTATGACTCATTTGACAGAAGAAGTGTATATAAATAACAATGGCGATGCAGTGGTGATGGTCGCCATTTTTTAAGATGTCTTTGACGTTCGAGAACATTTTTCATTTTGTTTTTTCTTGTTGAAATTTTTCATTGTATCATATCTGCTCGAGATTTTTTTTCGTTTGCATTCCACGAAATTTGACATCTCTAGTTCATATAGAATTTCGCGCTGTTTTTTTTACTTTTTTTAAAATTTTTTCAATCAATGCATTAACATGCTTATGCACTTAAAATTCAACTAAGATAAGAAGGAAGTGATTAAGACGTAGAATGATTATTTGTATAAAAGAAAGCCAACAAGATAGAAGAAAACTTTTGTAATATCTTCCTTATTTCTTTTCTTTTTCTCAGAGAATTATTTCCAACGAAAACAGAAAAAGAAATAAATATAAACCATAAAGCCACTAATTAGATATTTACATTATCGATTAGTAACATTTCAATGATATAAAACATAATGAACTCGTTTTCTTTTTTTTTTTAATTCTAGATTTCTTTCTATTTGACAAAAAAATTTAACAAAAAAGAAATGCAATCAGTCGATGAATTTACACCATCAACAACAGAACCTGTATTTGGTAGTGGTTTAGTTTCCCAAACGAAAAGTCAAGCATCAACAAATAATGAAAATAGTGATAATGAAAAAATAACTCTACCGTCAGAATCTGTTACTAATGGACCAAATGATACAACAAACGATAATGAAAATACTACAAATAGTACAATAGAACCTGTTACAGAAAATATTGATGCTGGTGATTCAGCAGCTGTACATGTTAATGATCAAAATGAAAAACCAACGATTGAAACAACTAATGACGTTAAACCAACTGAAGAATCAATTCCGAATGAAAAACCAGATCAAGTTGAATCAACTGTTCCATCTGCAACTGAACCTGAACCAGTATTATCAACACCAGTATATATAGCTAATGAAGGTTCATCAACGACTGTTGATACAACATCACCTCCTGCTGTTGAAACAACAACAAATGACAATGTTCCAAAGGTACCTAAAACCACTGAACCAGAAACAGTAGAACCAAAAAGCAAAGTAGAGAAAAAAAAGAAAATTTTGAATTGTATGTTGTTCTTTTTTTAAAATAGTCGCCTCGGGGTAAAACTAAAACAGCTGTTGTATCAACAACACCAACACGTCATTCAACACGTGATAGAAAACCGGCTTCATCTTCATCAATAAATATTGAAGAGAATCAAACAAATGATGACACCAGTACAACAACAACAAATCAAACTGAATCAACAAAACGTACAAAACGACAAGCAGCTACTATTGCTAAAGATGCTATAACTGCTAGTAATCAACCAAATTCAACATCTGGTAAATATAGATTTCTTTTGTTTCATTAATTGAAAATGACTTGGTTTTTTTTTGTATTTTAGGTAGTAGCATTGCCGATGATGGAAATGATCAAGATATGATTCTATCTGATGATGATGAAGATGATGATGTTACTAGTAACAAAACAAAAAAATCATCTCCAACAGGACGTAAGAAACGTGAAGCATCAACATTACCAACAAGTGTAACAAAAAAGATCAAAGGTAAAAATTCTATAACGTCAACAAATAATATTGATAATGAAGGTAAAAAAGTTCAAACACCAACAAAAAAAGCACGAACAAGCTCACCGAAAAAAACACCTGAACCACCCAGTGAAGAATATGTACGAAAATTGCGACCAAGAAAATAACATTATATGAATATATTATGTATATGTTTAATTTCTCTTTATTCTTGCTGCATATTATTTTATTGTCACGGTCAATTCTATGACCTCTTATCTGTGTGTGTTTTGTTCATTAAAGTCTGTATTCATTCGTATCTGATGCTTTTAGCTAGATATATATATATATATATATATGTGTGTGTTCATTTCTTGTCAAAGAATAGATTTCTTTTTTTTTTCTTCTTCGTCGTTTTGTCATTGTGTTGTTTTGAAAAAAAATTAAAACAAGAAAAGGAAAAGTTATCTGGAAAAATACAGATAGATCTTGATGCTTTTTGGTTTATTTGTTTCTTTTCCTTTCTGATTTGTTGTTGCAGTTTTTTTTCTTGCTGTCATTCGATCTTCTTTTTTGTTTCACTGTATCACAAGAAAAAACAACTTTTGTTTTGCTTTCTTCTTGCTTAATTTCATCTTTTGTTCTTTTCTTTTTAAACATGATCATGATGACGATGAAGAAACGCAAAAAGAAATAGTAGGACATATTCAATTGAAATTACACACTCTAGATTATATAACATGTATATGCAATTTTGTTGTCTATGTCAAATATTCATTGCTACGACGACAATCAGATTGTAAATGAATATTTCGAGTGCTGCCTGAAGGTATGAACAGTTTGTTGAATATATATATATACATTCTCTATCGTGAATAATTTAAATATGAAGACAGCATTGCATCATGATTTGATTAAAATGATCTTCTATAGAAATGACAGGCTTATGACTAACTCAATATAGCAATGACGAAATTCATTATCTTTTATATTAGTATGTATTAAGTGTATTTTAAAGGCAGACAAGTTGCAATTTAACAGCAAGAAGTTCTCTGTATTTGATCTGTTCAATATTTGCATACAATATATATATGAAGTATAAATACAAATTGTCAAACAATTCTTACTTTTTTATTCAATAATAATATAGTCTTTTTCACTTTTTCATTGATATAATCGAAATAAAAACTTTATTTAATAAATACAATTATTAATATTTAACTACGTAGTATTGATTAAAAGTAGATATAATAAATAGAAAAAGAAAAAAATTCTTTTTGTAGTAATACTCGTAGATTTTGCCAGAATTAGGGGTGGCATATTTACTTTTAGTTACTTTTGACGTCCTTTTTGGTGTTCAATGGTTTTCACAATAGTTTAATACATTTGATCAAATATTTTATTTGCTAAGTTGTAGATCTTGACTTCAGCTATAACTTTGCTCCCAACGTCATTTTTTGATATTGTTCATAAACTGAATTATGCACTGTACAAAAATTAGTTACTTTTAAAAGTAACTACCGAAAAAAAGTAACTACTTTTTACGTCAAAAATTCTTCATCTACGTCTCATAACTCGGTTCATGAACAGTATCGAAAAATGACCTTGAGAGCAAATTTATAGCTGAAGTCAAGATCTACAACTTAGCAAATAAAATATTTGATTAAATGCGTCAAACTGTTGTGCAAACCATTCAATACCAAAAAAGACTTCAAAAGTAACTACTGCCACCCCTAGCCAGAATACAATATGAATATTATTCTAAGATAATATGATCTAAAGAATTCACTAATTGATAAGATATTTTATGACTAATTGATATCTAGTTAGTTATGTTGAAGATGACAATGAATTAATTATGTTTTTTTTTTCAGATTAAAAAAACCCAGAAACGTCTGAACTATGACAAGTAGTACATCGACAAGTAGAGGAGTAACTCACGAGTCTCAAAAGATTGATTCATTGGAATCATTACTTAAAACAAATAACATTTTTTTATTTATACCGAATATAATTGGTAAATAGACGATAATGTTATTTAATATTATAAATGACTTGAAATCTTATTTAAGGTTATATACGTGTTTTTCTTTCGATTGCTTCATTTTATTTTATGCCAACACATCCAAAAATTACAATTATATGTTATTTAACAAGTGAATTTCTTGATGCACTTGATGGACATGCTGCTCGAGCACTTGGTCAAAGTAAATTGCTGATACGACAAAAGAAAAACATTGTTTTTGTTTTCTTTAAATTTAGGTACAAAATTTGGTGCTATGTTTGATATGCTTATTGATCGATGTTCAACGATGTGTTTATGTTTTGTGTTGGCAATGTTTTATCCAAAATGGGCACTTTTCTTTCAACTTTGGGCTGCTATTGATGTTGCTAGTCATTGGCTTCATTTACATGCGTAAATAAACTTTTATTTTCGATAGATAAAATAGAATTTTATATTTTTAGAGCAACAGTCAAAGGTTCTGAAAGTCATAAAAAAATAGATCTTTCAGGCAATCCTGTTCTTCGTCTTTACTATACATCACGCGTATGTAAAACTTCTTCAATATATTATTTAAATCCTCAATCTTTTCTATTTTAGAAAGTTCTTTTTACTATGTGTGCTGGTAATGAACTTTGGTTTTCAATGATTTATATGCTTCATTTTGGTGAAGGTCCTGCAGGTAGAACAAACACTAAAAAAAAAATCTACTATTGAGATGTTTTATTTATTTGTACGTTAATAGTAATGACATATGGGAGTCATGCAATAGGTCTTTGGCGCTTTATTCTCTTTTTTGTAACACCAATAATGGTATTAAAACAGATAATTAGTTTGATTCATCTTTACACAGCTGCAATTGATATGGCTGCAATTGATGAAGCTGAACGAGCAAGAAAAAAATAGAACTAATTGAATTGATTTGTTGTTCTTTTTTTTTTATCAATTATTATTCTCAGCATTTTATTGCGAACTAGTCGCTCATTTTCTTTCTTTTTAGAAAAAATAAATGAGCAAGAAAAATCTTTCTTTATTGATTGATAAATGTTTACTATTATTTTACCTATCTTCTAGGTATTCATTTTTTTTTACAGTGAATTACATCTATAGGAATATATTACAGGTATCTACTAATTGAATATCAAATAATAAATCTCTTGTTAACATAGTGTCTACGTTGAGTAATAAAATGTCGTCGAACAAAAATCTATGAGAATCTTCATAATATCGTTTTGATATTACAGGAATAAGATTAAAATTAATTTTGTATAATTTATGATAAGATTTATAGTCGTTTGGTTTTCTACTCACGATGAAATTTTGACTTTTGTTTGTATGCGATAAAAGAGATTTATTATATGTTACGACTATAGTCTTATAGAGGCTACGACACATTACAACCAACCCTATTTTAAAAGGCAACAGCTGTTAACAAATAGAAATAAAGAATCATTTTATACATCCGGAACACTTGTCCTATCTTGACTTTTTTTTATAGCATCGTGATGTATTTCTTATATTTTTCTCGGTTGAATATTTACTTAATCTTCAATGTAAAAATAATTGTCGAGACTTCAACCCATTGTTTTTTAGCTAAAAAATATTGTAGAGAGTTCATTCTCTTTCTGGTTGGTAAGAGTAAAGGCTGAACTTCAAAAAACGTACGAAACAAAGTTTTTTAAATTAACTTTGAGTGAGAGACGAGTTCGATACCAAACATATCTCTTCCAGCAGACAATTTTTTTCCTTTTAATAGATTACGTTTAAAATTATATAATTATAGAAACTAAAGCCGCTTTTATCATTTTTGTCAGATAAGGTATGATAAATAATGTAATAATCCACTTTCATATCGAAACTTTACAAATTTTTCCGTGATTTTATAAAATAGATCATCTGATTTACATAATAGTTTCTAGATACTGAATGAATTTTCTTCATTTTTCGGAAATAGATGTTCTATGATTTCCATACAAAAGTATTTTCTTTCAAAACTGCAATGTATCATATACCTTATTAACTGGCAATTAATTACCGAGAAACCTAAGTCGATATAGTTTTGTAAAGACTACTTTTTAATCTACTTGGTTTTCAAGAATATGCTTTTCTTCAGAGTGTAAACAAAAAAAAAAAGAAAAATTTATGTTGCAAGAGCTTTTTTGACAATGTTTAATATCGAATTTTTTTTCAATTCTTTTTGAAGTTCAGGCTTTATTCTTTCAATTGGAAAAAGAATAAATTTTCTACAGTGCTTCCAAGCGGAGAACCAGAGATCAAGATTTCAACAATTGCTTTTGCATCGTAGGTTAGTAGCTATCGTGTGTCAATAGCGATTTAATTAGTTGTTTAATATTCGTATAGTTGTAAAAGAAATGGAGATCAGTTTACAAACTCAATGTTCACTAGCAATAATGTTGAACATGACCACTACCAGGCAAGCTTTCTCATAGATACGGGAGTAGCTAATTAAAGATGATCTTTTTTTCAAGAAACCTATACATTATATTATGAATGCAAAGATTTATGGAAAATTTGACTAAGAAAAGAGAATGATATTGATATCAATGTAGAAGAAGACAACGACATAGAATAACTTTTATTATACACAAATGTCGAGAACAGTACTTCTTGATTCTTCGAACCTTTTCATAAATCTACTTCCATGATCTGTTAGTAATACAATATCATTATATAGTCTATAGTCATAGCTGTCATTTGATTCTCTTTAAAAGGGAGAAGAGTTAAGAAAGAAAGACTTCCAAAGCGACAAAGGGACCATTTATTCATCAGCTATTTTTCCAAAAAAATGTATTCTTAGCTAGAGCTTTAATACTATTACTATCAATCACGAACACTCTCCTCGATCGCTATTGCTCGTGTTACTAAATTTGTAAAGAAATTTCTGATTAACGGAAATAAATATATTTTTACTACACATAAAAGCTTTCTACATCAATAGTCTAAAAGTAATGTTCTTTCTCATAATTGTGTGATGTTCTGCCTACTGTGTGGATGTGGGTATGCGCGTGCTTCTCTTCATCTACACTCTCCACTGTTAGGAAAATGAAAGAAAATGCATCCATCTAAGCCTTTATTGCTTCACATAAAGAACTAACCGTGCATCACCTATGGTTTTCTACGAAAATATTTGTAAGTATCATATCCGAAAAAGTACACAACATCAATATTTCATGGAAATTAGTAGAAATTTATGTATTTTAAGGTAACATATTCATCAGATACCTAATAAGCTACTTGCTCGAAACATATTCAGTAAAAAGACACATGAAGTTGCTGTCTAGATATTGAGCTGGACTTCAGACATAGTATTCTGCAGCATATATCAAATGAATTTTGAGATATTTTGACGATCGAATCATACTTGTGAGGTTTGTCTTTTGTCTTTTTAAAATATTTCTCTTCAAGAGAAAATCACTGATTTTCTTTAAAAAATTGCAAACAGAAGTTCATTTTCACATAGGTCATATGTTGGACGGAAGGATTAAAAATGTTATTTATCCACAACGGAAAATTTTCCGGAAGAAATACGAAATACAAGAGAAATTGATAACGGGGGATACTCATGTTGTCTGTCTGTATTGTCTTTTAGCAAACATCCAGGTATTGTAGTCAAATAATAAAAACTCTTATCAGAAAAAACGATCAAATAAAATATTCCTCAACCTGAATTTGACACTCCAGGATGCCATCAAATAAGGTAACCTATTCATAATTCAGAAATCAAATATATCATGTTGTAAAATGGGTCGAAGCACGTTGAATGGTATACAGAAAATATTATTTTTATAAGACTTTGAAAGAACTGGGGTCAATTTACTGATATACACTCCACGCTTGATCATTTAATTGATCATGATAGTCTTTGGTATCAGTCGAAAGTGTTTGTAAAACAATTTCTTCTATACCGTTTTGTAGAGCTTTTCATGGGCTACAAGCTCGCACACATAACATCTCCAATTATTCTATTTTTGACACGGAAAAAATGCAATATTTCAATGATGCATCATCGTTTTTCAATAATGATAACTGTTCATATCATCAACAGTGTCAACTATAGAAGATATAGTCAGACGCCTAACTTTCTAAGAAACTGCTCGTGATGTAGTATTACAAAATACTATTTAGAAGTTCTCCAAAATTTGCGTACAATGTTCAAAATTACCTTGTGTTCAGAAATCTTAATCAATTTTTACATCAGTTTTCGTAATCAGCGTAATAAGCTGCAATGAGAATAGGTTATATTTTAACTACATACTTTTCCCATCAAAATTCTACCTGTGAAGAATCAATCACAAGGCGAAATTCAAGAAAAAGTGGCTGAGGAAATATCGGCCGAATTACCGAAAAATATATTTAGCTAAAATATAAACTATTCAATGCAGTTTGTTATGCTGATTCCAAATAGTGTGTTTTGTAGTGCTACATCGTGGGCCACTTCTGAGAAAGTTTGGCATCTGGTTATATCTTATATAATCGATACTATTGAACACATAAAGACTTTCTATTACTGAAAAATGGTAGTAAATCATTGAAATATCGCATTTTTTTCATATCCACAATGGAATGATCAGAGATATTAAGTGTACGAGTTTGTTGCCCATGGAAAGCTGTACAAAGTTGTATGGAAGAAAGCCTTTTTTTTTAAAAATACTTCCGACTGAAAGCAAGGACCATCATGATCAATAACCAAACATGTCTGGGGTAGTTTCTTCAAGGTCTTATATGAAAATAAGATTTTACTATATACTATTCAGCGCGCTTCGACTTACTCTACAACATGATATATTTGATTTCTCAATTATGAATAGACCAGCTTATTCGACAGAATTCTTTGTTATAAGGTATATATATGTCAAAATTAAAGTTGCAACTGAAAAAAAAAATTTTTTGTTTTTATTCCAAACTAATATAAAAATGGGAGCCAACACCGAAAAAATTAGAGATGCATTTATATGAAAATTTTTTGCGTGTTTTTTCAGTGTTACTGACGATCAATTCAACAGTAAATTTATTAATATGTGCCCATGTGCCCCTACTGTATCTTATTTTAATACTCATGATTTAGTGTTGTTTTTCAAGTTCATTTCTGGGTGACATCTATTGATGTAAAACGACGTAATTAAAACAAGTTTTTATTTATTCAACTGTTTGCACATAATGCTCCAAAGCAAAGAGAAAATAATCTGATTAGTCATTTTTGAATATAAAGACTTCAGTGTTCAAATAAGTAGTCTTTGTATTGTACTTTTTTGAAAATACGACAAATTGTTAGTGAAGTTGTGTGTACCTATTTTAAGCCATCTAATAGCGGATAAATCAGGAGTCATATTTGATTAAAATACTTTAATTTTCAAATAACTATACGATTTTCTCAGTGCAGAAAATACTATAAGTAAAACTAACATTTTTCTGGCGCCAATGAAGATGTTGATAAGCCGAGATGCCTTATATATCACAAAGTTTGACGCAGATAGAGTTTGTTTTCAATAGATTTAATTATTTTTTGTACGATTATTAAAATGAACTATTTGATTATTATCTAATAATCACCCTATTTTCGAAGCATAATTTCACTTATCATTTGTCGGTCGTAACTTTGATTTGGATATATTTTCGGTACAATATATATATATTGAAAAAAATTTCTCTTTTTCAGATTTTTATCATGGAAGATTGGAATAAAAATGTCAAATTATTACGAATTTTAAATGATGATCATGAGTCGAAATATGCAACTATTGAAGGTGAAGTAGAAGACAAAGAAGGTGAAAAAAAATCGGCTGTATTAATTCTTGAAAAAACACCATTTCAATTTGATGATGTTGTTAAACTAATGAAAGATAATGAACAACAATTTAAAGAAGATTTTGTTAATGATATCTATCATAAGTATACAGTTGCAGCACGATCAACATGTAATGGTAAGTTTAAAATTATTTCAAAGAATAAAATGTATTATTCGTTGATATGGAACATAGGTTTATATAGTTTCTTAATCGAATTTTGTTTATGAATGAAATGATACATATCTTCATCATTTACACGAATTTTGATAATGCTTGTTTTTGAAGATAAATTTCATTCGATTTTAATCTTTCTTAATCGATTTAAAAAAAGCCGATTTCAATCGATCAAAAAACAGCTAAAATCAATTGAAATCTATCTTTACAACTGAAAAGTCAGAATTAAATAGTTTCATTTGAATTGATTTTTACTAAAAAAACTAATCGATTTTATTTAAACCTTTGGTTAAAATTTCTCACATGAGTTTTTCCACCTCGTAACTGGTAGTAATCAGAAGTCTTTATTATGCGAACACTTTTCAACTTTCATTTGTCTACACACACGATCAAGTGCACTATCAATTGCATTAAGTGGCATGGATATTACTTGTGTAGTAAAATTAACAGTGTAACTAAAAATAGTAACCAATCTGACTCTTTAACATTGATCAGCAGACACTTCACTCGTGAAAACTTATGTTAAGAAATAATAGTCTTGACGAAGTTGCAGTACCTACGAACATATCTTGCTCTTTCGACTCAATAAATAATTCGACCTATATCTTATGTTATTTTTTTCAAGAATTAAAAATTGTCCAACCTAATTCAACTCATGATCATTATGACAAAAAAAAATATTTTACAATGTTCTAATAAATGACTACAGTGATTGTGGAGTTCCATCACTTAAAAATCCTTTTTATAAAAGAAACATACTTTAATAGTGCCAATCTAAGTGAAGCCGAGCCGAGCCATCAAAAAGTGACCCGGTTTCAAGGCCTATATTTATACTGAATTTTATAAGTCATTGTTATTATGATATGTGTTAAGGATAAATATTTTAAAACGATTTGAAATATTGAAATATATTTATATATTTTCTTAGATATTAAAGTAGCATTTATTTATCCTGCAACACCATTACATATAAAAAAATATTCTAAAAAACAAACATGTCTTATAAGTGAAACTAGTCAATGTTATGAAACAATTGTTCGATCATATATTGAACAAAATCAACTCAATGTGCAATGGGTTTATAATATAGTTGATGGAAAATCAGAACGTGAACGAATTTTATTGGAAAATGATGAATTTATTGTATTACCTGATATAATGTGGGATGGAAAAGCTATTGAATCATTACATCTTTTAGGTCTTGTTAAGTCACATAATATTCATAGTATACGAGATTTAAAACCTGAACATATATCAATGCTTGAATCTTTACTTGAAAAAACAACAGTAAAATTTATTTATTTATTTATATATTAATTAATTTCTTTTTTTTTTAATTTTTAGAATTTTATATCATCAAAATATGGTATATCGCCAAAAACAATACGTGCTTTTTTTCATTATCCACCAACATTTTATCATTTACATGTTCATTTTACAACATTACAAAATCGCATATGTGGTTGTGAAGTTGAAAGAGCACATCTTGTTCAAGATGTTATTGATAATATAAAATTAAAAAATGATTATTATCAAACAAAAACATTATATTATAAAGTTGCTATTAATGATTCACTTTATAAACTTTTAGAAGAAAATGAACAAACAATAAATGAACAATAAGATTTAAATGAAGTCAATAATAAAGACACCGGTGATCAGTTGTTGTTCTCTCTTATTGATAAATAAAAATGATTAGATATTTGAATTTGAATTTGTTTTGAACAGTTTATATACAGGATGTTCTGAAAGTCCATCGAGAAAAAAAAAACGTGAAAAGCTCTTCAACGATTCAAACAATTTGCGTGTGTTTTTCATCATTTCATAGCATTTTCTTTGCAGTATTTTTGTTATTGTCAAAAATGTAATAACGGAACCGATCTGTTGCTTCTTTCACCAATACTCTTATGAGAGAGCTTGCAACATTGATCGTCAGGGAAAAGCTTTTAATTTTCAATTCAGTTATCTTAAATGAAAGGTACAGCTAAATCACATTCATATCCAAAATATTAGATTATATGGTTCTATCTGTGAAAAAAGCACGTTGCAACAAATATGAAAGCTCTATTTTGTTATTCTTAATGATCTCTAAAAATGGATATGTTCAATATTTTGATATTATCTCAAAAATGTCTAGATGATTTGAACTTGGACACATCTCATTAGATAGTGAACAGTATAGAAGAAAAGAAAATGCTTCAACTCAAAAACTGTCGAACATTCGAAAATGCACCCTTCTGGTAGAGCAGTGTTTCAAACTTTTCCTTCATTGTACAAACGATACTAGAGTTCTTTTTTCATCCGACATAGATCTCCTGAAGACACATTTTCTACTACTAAACTGTCCAATGTAAATAATTTGGAAAAAAAAAGAATTAATATTGACCATTACCTAGCGTATTATTCTTAGGGACCATTAGTCCTTTTCTCAAAAAAGTCATGCAATATCTTTTTCAGTGTGGGTGTGCATCAACAGAAGACTCGCACTCACACCAACAGCCGATAGATGAGAAATCTTGAAGAATCTAATGATAAAAATAGTATTTTTATCATTAAGTTCTATGTTGTTTGGTATTTGTTTACATTTTTTTTTGGTTCAGACTGTTCGTTCGATTGGAAAAGTAGTGTCAAGAGATCTCATCTTTTATCCGTCCTAGGAAGGGCGAGGGATAAATTATTTCAAACACAAGAAACGACTTAATTTTCAATGCTCGTCTCGAATATGACGTCAGTTTTCACACAGACGGGAGTTTTCTGATCAAACTTGACTAAAGATAAGTCGAAAAAGAACAAACCATACCCTGAGAACAATGTGTCTAGGCTTAATTCAAATGGCTCCTGTTTTTAAATTCCGAAACTATATAGCTTTGCAGTATTCGAAAATGACTATCGCAAAGTAAACGCTCGAAATCGTTTTTTAGTAGATATCCGTCAAAACAAGACCTTTTTGAAAAACATTTTTTTTATCGAAATGCTTAAAATTAAGGCTCCAGAAATCATGAGACTTTCATCAAAACCGATGATTGACTTTGTACGCATGGTTGAATTCCTGTGAAAATACTTGAATATTAATTTCTTTTGGTTGTAGAGCTATATTCTTGTGAGAAGAGTTATCTTTTTTTTTGATCACAGCCTATCAGGTGGTTTCGCATCCTGATCCAGAGAGGCTCCACATGTCTGGTATAGCGATAGCAGTATAGTACTCGGAAAAGCTTAGTATAATCTTATGGTCCCTGTCGCCTTTATTGTACGCCATATCTACGTTCGTTGCCCTACCGTTGCGGTGTGGTTCACTTTGTATGTATCCGGTTCAGGCTCATGAGGGATCTCCAGAGTTCTGAGTGCGATAATGTGTCGAGAAAAGCCGAAAGCAGTAAATAGCAATGAGAACCAGTTTATTCAGTAAGCAAGAAAGAAAAACAAAGCTCAGTCACTTAGCTCTAAAACTCTTGTTTTGCAAATATTTTAAGACCATTGGTCTTGTTTTCATCCATCATGTAGAAAAAAAAACAATCTGTCATTCATGACTACTGCATCAACAATTGTTTGCAATCTCTGTTTAACAAAATCAACAAGTAAAGACTATCATTTGGTACGCATACCATCAAAGTTCATCACGATATAACCAAGCTACACATTCCTAAATATGTATCTACGAATCTTAAATCAGAAGATATCACAATGATGTTATAACTACTTGATTCTTCACAGCTGGCCTCATGCAATTTTTGGCTATTCGACTTGATCAAACCTGGTCTGACCGATGAAAATAACGCTGAATAGTTGTATAGCGTCGTAACTACGATAATAAATTCGTTCAGTAAAGATGACTATAGAAAAACTTTTGATAAATGGATTGAACGGATATGTATTTATAAATAATCATGGTCACTACTTCGAACATCAAATAAAATTACAATTTGATTAGTTTGTTTCTGAATTTTTTTCCTTAAAAAAATCAGTACTTTAGTATGCACCAAGTAATAACTGTTTTCAGTTTCACTAGCTTCTTATTATTATTAGTGTCACGGTAAATATGCTTGATTTAATATTATCAGAATATATCCAAATTTAATCTGTTTATTTATTTATAACATGAATCAATCAAGAATTATCTTTCTTATTTTTGGGTAGAAAAGTAATCAAAATCTCTAAAAATTTGATTACATAATCAATGATTGACTTCATGTATATATGAGACCAAAAATATTAGAACAATAAATATACTGAATTCAACTGATCTTATACAAATCGCAGATTTTTATGATGAAAGTAAATCCTCTAATATAAAAACAAATTCGTTTTGATTTCAGTGCTATTTCTTTCGATGTTATTGATGATTTAGATCAAATTTCTACATATTATAGACGTAAACAGTGTATAAATTTAATATATTAAACATAATTTTTAATGGCATTTAAAGTTATATGTGCGATAGTTCACTGGTTAACTCATAATCATTGTGAAATTTTTTTAATATTAAATATTAATTCATATATTTGTAAAATTGTTTTTATATTTGAGATTTTAACACGAGTTTCAATAAGTCAATAATTGTTTTTCTTTATTTTTCTGGTATGTAATGCAGTGCAAAGAAAAGCATTTATATAGATCTTCAGGCCTTTCTCGTTGTACATATCGAAAATTATCATTTTGTATTGTGATGATCTCGAGAACAGAAACTGAGAAAATGTTCGTTTAAACTCTAGGTGAAAATATCGAGACCAAATCGATATCATTTTTTCCAATCTTTTCGAAGATCATTCGTTAAGCTGAAAGTAGCACCTCAAAAGAAAAAAGCTTTAAGATAATAATTAAAACGATAATAGCAACAAAATTTAGCTGTCTTTTTCTTTGCTTATACAAAAAAAAATCGCTGCAAAAATACAGTTGATGCTAGATAATAGGTTGCTGAAAATGGTATTCGGTTAAGTTCATTACTTCAGCTACGAGACATAAAAAAATTTATAAGACTAAAATTCAAATATTCTGGCAAAGTTGTGTAATTTCAATGATGAAATCAGGTATTTAACCCTTGGATGTACAGTTACCTTTTAATATAGTTTGATTATCAATTACGTTAAATTTTGTTGTAAAAATACAAAAACACAATGTGACAGGTGTACTAAAAAATATTGTACAATAGAAAAGTTTTCTTTTGTATTTAAATCAATCAATATTATTATACTTCATTAATATAAAAACGAGATATCTACGTCTATTTACACACTGCAAGAAATAGTGTCGTACAATAAATGATCTGATGGTTTTGTTTTCTTTCTTGCTACTTTTCGGTCGACAGAAAAGATAAACATATATACATATACTGATCAATTACAAAGATAAAATATACTTACATATCGTTCTAGTTTTTATTTTCGTATAGAAGATGCCGACAATTAGAAATTTGAACAAAACAATTTTGTCGTGGTTTGGTAGAGCTCGTCAAGTTACCTCTACAAAAATGTTGTTTTTGACATTTTCAGTGTTGACAAAATCGATTTTTTCGATGTGATAGCAAAAATCCATAAATACAAGTGTGTATTATAAGATGTTGGCCCTTCGAACTCCAATTCCAAAAGAAAAGAGTAACATATTGAACATTACCGCAAAAGTCTCCATTGAATAATTTACTTAATAGAGGTTTCAATGAGTTGGACTGACTTTCTTCGGTCCAGTCTAGCCTATTGATATATCTAATACTTTAAAAATACTCAAAAATAATTTTTGTCAAGTTTCGAACTTAGGAGAAGCACAGGTCAGAATATTCGAAAATAACACTGAGGTGATGTAAGAACCAAACTTTGACGAAAGTTATTTTTCAATATCGAGTATAGTATTTGATGCAGATTTGTTGTGCTGATTTCGAATATGATATTCGTTTCTTTCGAAACTGAAGCTTTGATAGCCAAAATCGTTGAATACAAACTCATATTTATGACTTTTTTGTGATGTCATATCGAAAAAATTGATTTTCTTAACAATCAAACAATATTTTTCAAAAATCGTACATATTTTTTTTTCTTAACCATATGAATATTGAGACTACCAAGACTTGATGCATGTAGTGTATTTCAATTCTGATTTGGTTTCACCTAATTTTCCTAAGTTTCACTGCGAAAACCATCGCCGGAATATATGGCTGGCACGTTAACTATGATCACAAATTAGAAGCGTCTGATCTGATTTCTTTTTATGGTCATCTTTCTCAACAAATGCATTATTTTGTTTCATAAAAGTAAGTGAATCAAACATTTACATAATGCTAATGTCTTGGTTTAGTCAACTGTTTTTTTTTCTTGAAATTCCATTCTTTTTTTAACTCTATTATTACTTTTGTCGTTTGACATGAATCGACTGGAGATTAGATGTTAAGTAAAATAAATAGAATGATTGACAAAAACGTTTTTGAGTTATAACCTTGATAAATTTCTTTTTGTTGAACAATTATCAGTAGGTTTGCTAGGTATTCAACTAACTTTATAGTTATCTTCATGAGTTTAAAAAATACCATACTTAATAAATTTTATCTTTCTTAGTTTATTAAACTTGATATTAGTATTAGGAAAGACTTTATCAATAGCAATTAATACTCTTGTTGAAATCAGTAAATATCCTAATACTACATTCAAAATAACAATAACAGGACACTTTTATAAAAAATCATGAATTATTAAACAAGCATATATACATCGGGTATGGCAAGTATTTTACGACATTGTTTTTTATTTTGCATGTAAGTCTGTTCAGGAACAAGGTAAAACTTTGATCTTTTTTTCTCAAAAGGTGCATCATTGAATTTTTTATTCGGATCACAAGATCAAATCTTTGTAGTTATTTTTGAAATTTTAATAGATCACAACACTGAACACACGTGTCATCGTGTTATTTCTCACAAGAAAAATTGGAGAAATCTATGTAGTGATCGACAGAATACTTCATTTTTAATTGCATCAATGCAGAATAAAAAGAAGTGTTCCAAGCATTATAAAATACCAAAATGTTCGTCAAACAGACAATATTTTCTACGAGATCAGTAATAATTTCTTCACAACGTATTTTCATCATCTTTACTTGAAGCCAAGTTTTCATTATATTATTTTGTTAGACTTAATTGTTTTTTTGTTATTTCTTTCAATAATCAAGGAAGTTTAATATAGGAATTTGTGCATCGAGCTTACTCACTATTTTTAGACAATGTATTCGAGAGTAGAAAAACAAAAGGTATTTTATTTCAGGGTGAAACATCCAGATCTATTGATACGAATTTTATCACACTAGGTATAGGATTACGTCTAAACATGATAGGGAATGTGAACGAACAATAATTATCAATATCAAAATTCAATATTTTTCGTTTTAGGAAGTGAGACGATGATACACCTGTTCAGTATTTGCAATCTTTTAATATTTTCAAAATAGATATAAGAATTTAGTCTTGCAATCCAAGTAAAATATTCAATGACGCATCTTTTGAAAAAAAAAACATCAAAGTTTTATCGTGTTCCTGAACAGGGTTGCATGCAGAATTAAAACAAAAAAATGTCTCAAAACTTTTGCCACATCTGGTATTAGTAAAAAGGGAAATCAACGTCGGAGTTGCATAATATATCTTGTAAGTTAGTTTGCAATGTGATGTTAAAGGTAATAACGCAATAAAATTTATGATCTATCATTATTAGACGGTAAAATATATGCAAATATCTTAGCACTACTATTGAAAGTAATCGTTATACATTTTCTTTTCAATTTACATAACGTCAATTAATGAATCAACAAGTATTATCAAATAGGCACATTAAAAAAATGTCAAATAGAGACAAAAGAACAATCTGTTGTTACTTCTCTAGTCACAACTGATTGTGAAGATTTCGCAACATCTGAAATAATAAATTTATATATATATATATATATATGTATATTTTTTACGATAGTGCAACAAGTGCGACAAGAACAATCTGATAGACAATATAAAAACAACTGACTACTGTTCGTAATGATGCTGTTGATGATGAATTGTTACCACGTAATTGTGATATTAAACGACGTGATTTACTACCACTAGGATCTAGATAAATAATCAAAATATTATCATAAAAATAAAATAATAACTTACATTGATTGACAATAACTTGAGCTGTTGCTGTTAACATTTGTCCATATCGACATGTATAAATTCCAGTGTCATTTCGACTTGCATGTTGTATTAATAATGCTCCATGTAAAATACCATCAGTTGATACATAATTTGAAATATGCTCAGTTAGATTATCTAATAAATAATTATCACGTGTCCATTCAACATGTAAATTTACTTCATTAGGATTCTTTGTTGAAAGTATACGACAAATAAGATGAATTGGTTCATCAATAGTAACACAAATACGATTTGGTACAATATCAATACATGTATTAGCTAAAGAAAAAATTTAGTTAATATAAATAAATTTTGTTTTCTTTTTCTGATAAATGAAAATTCATACAAAGAATTGTTAAATTATAACTTATTTGGATTCCATTGCCTGATTTACATAAATAATAACCTTCGTCATCTTTTCTTATACCAGCTATTTCTAAATGATGATCATTATTATGAATACGTGGCATAAATCGATGGTCATCAAGTAATTGACGATCACCAAGTATTAATGGTTGAGGATATGCATTCTCATATAAACGAAACCACATAATCGGTGCCTGGATATGGAAAATGAAAGGAATGAAAAAACCAAATTTAATATATAATTATATATATAATAAGTTCATCATACTATTGATAAAGAATTATTTTCAGTTTCAGTTTGACAAGAAAGTGGAATAGTGTCACCACAATTGGCAGTAATTAATTGTGCATCAGGATAGCTGACATGAAAATTCGTCAAATAATACATTGAATATGTGATGTTAATAATAAATGGCAATATCAAAAGAACTAAATTTTTGTTTAAATTAAAAGAAAACTATAAAGATTAATGAAGTTCTTACCTTTCAATTGGAACATTTTATTTGATCCATGTTGTATTAAAAATAATCACACCTTTCGTCATTGTGAGTCACTATGGTCTCTCATTGACAAATCTAAAAAAAACACAATCTCAATCTACCGATTATTTATTTCTTTTTTTTTCTCGTTCGGGTGGGTTTACTTTTTTCTTCTCATTCGGCTTCACGTTTTTTCTTCTCATTTGTTGAATATAAAAGCAACATATACATCAATTCTCGTTATTTTTACTACAAGCAAACACAAAATGGCTGACAACATGAAATTAAGCGATGATAAAAGAAAACAACTTGATGAATATTACAAAAAAAATCGAGACAAACTTCCTGCTTGTCCTACATGTAACACGAATAATGATGTTATTCCAACTGTTCGTGGTAAACCATCATCAGATTTATTATTGTATGCTGAAGAAGGCAATGTGAAATTATCCGGTTGTACACAAAGTTACAATGGATGGTGTAAAAAATGTGAAAAATTCTTTTAAAAAATATTTTAAGGATAAAAGATACCAAGAATCTTTTCTATTTTTTTTTATTTTAATAAAAAAAGAACTGCCTGCATAACTCAATTTAAATAAGTAACACTTACTTTACCGCTTGTTCACCGTTCGATAACAAAGAGTTTTGCTCTTTTTTTTTTCTTCTTAAGAAAAAAAAAAGACAAATGAGATGAGAGTCGATTTTTTTTCAAAAACCTTGTAATGTGTCGAAGAATGAAAAAACTTCCGGAAACCATTGCAATAGCTACTACTGCGATTACTACTTACTGTATTAACATTAAGTTTGCTTGTCCTTTTTTCTCTGTTGACTACTCCATCTTGCAACAAATTAACGCGGCGGAAGTCTGCTTCTTTCTATCATTCTTAGTTTGTCGTCGTCATACAACTCTTCAATATCTTATCATGCGAAAAGTATCGACTCTCGTCGAACTGTCTGTGCACACATTGCATGCCAATAACTCATTGACACTTATCGTCGTCGACCAATGGCTACTATTTACATTGAACTACTTGAAACAATGCATTTAAAAGTCAGTTGCGGATGTTTGACTATATGATTCTTTTGCAATTGAGTCAAGAAAAAAAATGATTAACATAAAATATTCTATATATTTGATTCATCGAATAGAATAGAATTGACTTCAAAAAAAAAAAATATTTTTGTTTTTTGATAATTAATGACCGAGTAAAACAAATTAATAACATTATTTTTTACCATAAAAAATCTTAACACTAGACGATGTTGATAATTCTAATATGTTTTTCTCTGTATTAAAACTTAATTAAAAAAACAGTTTCGAGAAAGACTGATATAGATATGACCTATATATAATTTATCTATGATCACTCACGTCGCACACAAATAATAAAGCGTATATATATATATATGCATTATAGGAGCTCATGTGTCCATCAAGTAACGCTTCAATGGATATCTATTTGTCAAAATTAAATTTATAATAATAATTATTTCTCTGTATTTATCTTTAATATTCTTGTCATATACGTTCACAGTTTTTGAGATACTTATCTGCATACTTTTTATTTGATCATACTCATAATAATACAATCAGACGATGTAGTCCATATAATATGAGCAGCTGGCTGTGTGTTTCTATTATATTTCTCATATTGAATAAATTATAAACGATAAAATACACTTTCAATATATAACATAAAATCGTAAACTATATCTTTAAAACAAATCTTTAGCATGAATATGTGCACAGTGTTAGACATGCGTGTCGAACTATCATTCACGACTAGTTGACGTTTACGCAGTTAGGATGCGTGATCAAAACAATTTATACATTGATCTCGAAGATAGAAGAAAGAAAGCGTGAGAGGCAGGAGGTCATCAATAAATGTTGGTAAACGTCAAAAGCATCCTATTGATAACGACGATGACAATAGTTAATCTAATGAGAATGATCGACATTTTCATGCTTTTGTCCTGCAATCAATGTCATTAGCAGTACACATCAAAGACTATAAATCGATGAGTACAACTCCTCCTTCAACAGCAATGTCATACGCATAATCAAAACAAAAAGAACCAAACGAGAGGCCTATTCATCATTAACAACTATTTATATCAAAATTCATTGAGCAAAACTAGTTTAGGAAATGATTGTAATACACAAGCTTCTAATCGGACTATGTCGATAGAGAACAAGAAATAATTTCTATATCTTTAAATATGTCGACATAAGAAACTACAAAATTTACCAAATGAATATCAATAATAGTAATACATGTTGCAATTCAGAAAAATAATATATGAGGCTTAACTAAGAATGATTGTATTCAAGAGCTTGCACGCACGCAAAGTCATATAAGAATAAAAAGATTATGTTATTAATGGACGAATATTAAAAAATATGTTTTTCATAATCACTATTCATTTAATATTTGGTAAACTGGACCCACATCATATAATCATACAAATAGATCACAATTCACAAACGAAAGAGAAAAAAAAGAATAGAAAGAAACTTTAAATGTATGGTCACAAATATAATCAAACTATTTTATCTCACTCATTTCATCTGATCAACATGACCTTATATCAATAATTAGATCATCGGAAGAGAATTACATCACGTTATGTTTGCAGTCCATTAAACAGATCAGTAAGTCGTATTTTCCTATATATATATATATATATATGTACCAGAGCGTCTGCATTGGGTTATAGAACAGTTAGTCAGTCAAACATTGCTGTTGCCATTATTATATGATGATCGATCCTTTTTCCTCTCCTAGACATCAATCGTTCTACTTGACTTGTGTTTACACATATATTGTACCCTTTCTCATTCTCTTGAATTGCTCCTCCTGTTGAGAATGAGCGGACCACCCGGTCCGTCTCGTAAATAGTCAATTTCCCTATACTATGAGTACTCACCTCTTCAATATGTTTTATACATAAGTGTCAGAAAAAAAGACGTTGAAAAATGTTTGCGTGAAGTGTTACATGCTTATACACTACATCAACCATCTGTCTTCACAGTATGCACACAAACAGGTAATTTATATAGAAATGTAAGTTAGTCGATCGACAAAGCGGCTTTTTTTTTTTGTTCTTTCTCTCGTTAAGTTCTATTATCGCATGGATGTCAGTGATTGTTGGCATCAGAAGAGGCCAATGGACGATTGTTTTTTGACTAGGTCAATTAATCAACTACAACGTCTTTATGCTTCTTAACTGTTCCTAACTTCTTTTCTGTTTGAAGTGTAAGTGTTATACATATATAAATAGCACATTGGAACATACGCAAAGAGAGTCATTAATCAATAATTAGATTCGTCTGTTTATAGTATACATTTTCAAAACAGGACCTACCTAGCTAGATTGTCTCAACGATGTTGAAAGGTCATCTGTATAATGACGATGATGGCGTAGTGTGTGGCTGTTCTAGTGAGTGAATGAACACCGCATTGATTATGAGACGAAGAGAGAAGGAGAAAAAAAAAGAGAATATAGCTTAATCATGATCGTATTGTTGTTAGAGAGAAAAACGGACAAAAAAAGATGAATAATCGTTATCGTTCATCAGAAGCTTGAAAATTATTCAATCAGTGAAAAGAGAATAAAAACAACAAGAGCATTAACTTATTCAGTGCATCGACCTTGTCTCATGAATGACAACCACATGCATAGTTCATTGATTTGTAGACAGATAGAAAGACAGAATCGTTGACATGCATAAAACTATGCAACATTTATCATAGAAACATGAAAAGCATCATTTCAAGGATCAACAAAATCGAATATGGTCTCAGATAATAATATAAGCTATATGAAAATCTCTTATGCATGACACAACTACAAAAATAAATGAATGAATATAATGCTTATAGACAAGCATTGTGTCTAGTAATGCTTTAGGCACAAACTCAATACACCGGGAAATGAATGTTTTCTTTTGTTTTTTTTTGCTCTTTTACATTTATTCATCTAATGTAGTGAAGAGTTTATAAAATAATATTTCCTTTGTCTTTTATTCAAATCTTTTTATTGAATTTGATAATTATGTTTTTGAAGCACTCTTACATTGACTATTGTTTTACATAAATATTAATAAAAATATTGATAATATAAGTTGGATATTTTTTATTGTTAATAAAAAATAAATATGAATACGTTTATAATTTTCTGAATAAGTAGTATGTTTAACATTGATAAAAAGATAACTTTCTTGAATGAATATAGCTGTAGGAAATGATCTTGAAATATGACATAAATGGATCGTGTTTAGAAAAGATCAGTTTACACATCATATATTACTCTACTTTGCTTATTATTTATTATTCCATTTAATCTATGTTTAGTATTGAATTGAGAAATTTCTAGATGTTTTATGAGTTGTGCATGTACGTGAACATAATACAATATCTGTTTGATGATTACTGTTAAAACCATGATAATATATTATTTTTATTTTTTAATAATGTTTGATCCTTCTATACGAAAAGCTAGGATAAACATGCAATCTGATTCATTTTAAGGATTAGTTAATATCCTGTCACATAGTTGATTAGGTTCGATCTTGTATATGAATATGTTGTTGACATTAACTCTATAGAATTTTTGATAAGATTGAGATCTATCATTGGTTTTATTGTGGAACTCTGTCGAGATGGTTCTCATTTTTCATTAAATCTTTGAGAAGCTTTCATTTTTACAGCGTAAAACAAATTTGTATCTTTTTCAAAACATATTCGTCATTATGTGTCTTGAATTGCCTAAAAAAAAGGTTAATTTTGTCTATAATCTAGATGACAACTTATTTAATTTATTCGTAAAAGAAACTGACATATCATACATACGGAACTTTTAATATGAGACATCACGCAATTGAAATTCATCTATTTCCGATGAGATGAAGGCTAAATATTGACAAAGAATAAATTTTCTTTGGTAATTATATTAAAAATTTTTGCAGCGTCGTTAATGACAAATCTCAGTGAAAATCCAATGCTCAGATTTGCCTAT